ATACCACAATCACAAGCCATTGTGTCGACAACATATTGCATATATTTATGGCGGTGTTCCTTTATTAGGTCCATTAATTCCACTTTAAGCATCTTCTCAGTAAATGTTATTGCTTTATCCCGCAGCCAGGTTTGCATATCCGCTTTCCTACTGGACATTATCGGAATGCGTTCAACTCGTCGACTGTGATAAGAAGCGTTATCTAGTACAATAACTGAATTTCGTTCTACACGCTGTAATACTTCAGTAAACCATTTTTAAAAGTATTCTGCATTCATGTCCTCTTGGTAGTCTCCTGTTTTTTTTTATATAAACACAAGAGCGCTATTTTCCAAAAATCCACTGTCACTTCCGATATGGGTAACAATTAGGCGCTATCCTTTACCTTATGGTGCTTTCAAACCATATCTTAGATACCGTGTTTCCAGCATTCACCCACGTTTCATCGAGATAGTATATATTTTTTTTAGCGGCTCTAAACTCTTTAATATTTCGTAAATAACGCCGTCGCCAGGACACTATATCTGACCTCTTAATTAAAATTGATTTCCTACACCGTTCGACAAAACGAAATTTTAGGCCCCATAAAATTTTTCGTAAAGTTTCACGGCTCATTGATGGAATTTCTTTGTTTTCTCTTAATTTCGTAAAAACAACTTGTAAGTGGTGGGGCTTTGTTTTCGAAAAAAAAAAAAAAAAGAATATGCAGTTCTTCGAATGATTTGTTTTTGGTTATCGTCCAATTTCAACAATTTGCGACCACGGGTATGTATTTTAGGGGCTTCTAAGGAGCCTTTTTTTGTCTTTTCGCGTACAATACGTTCAATTGTTGAAACAGATACTCCAGTTAAAAAAAAAAACTGCGATTTACAGCTTCATTTGTAGGAAGTGTCTGTTTCAGCCCATCATATACTTTTCATATAATGTTCTTTTCGTCCTTTGATAAGGGCTTGCGCCGACGTAATTGGGTTTCACTTGGACCCGCCTCTTTTATTCAAATATAATCATTCACCAAATTAAACACTTAATCACTTCTTATATAATGTATTAATACCAAGAAAGTTATTAACAATCGTTATTAATTAAAATTTAGATAGCGTCAAACGTGTGCATAGGAACCCACGTCAATCATAAGTGTCTTTTTGATTTTTCGGTCTTCTACTCGCCGAGTGCGTATGTGTGTGTATCCAATATCCAAGATCCAAGTATCGCTTAGGCAGTGGCGGCGTCTTGAATATTGCACGAATCTAACACTACTATTAAATTGTTTTTATTAAATTTATAAATACACCAATATTTTACTATTTAATAAACTTTTAAAGTACCTACCTAATATACTACACAATAAATATAACTCCTCGAATATGCACTACCACTACCAAATTGTAAGGCACAAACATGAACACCTACTCGTATATCAGAAAAGAGCACTTATACAAAAAAGTGTTTATAAAATAATTATTGTAAATAGTTAAAGCAATACAAATCTAACTTCGTCGAAAGTTAGTTTTCAACTGTCTTTGTGCCTGTGTTGACAATATTCAACCTGTAACCCGTCTGTCGTTTATTTACTTAAAACACACATTCATTTGTCATCGCCTCCAAATATTAGGGTATCATCTTACAAAATTTTACTCTCTATTACAGAGTTAAAACTGATTTCAACTGATTTAGCGGTTTTGACTCTTTACCTGATCCACACATGGACGGACTTTTTTTTCTGTCTAACTAAATGAATGTAACGATCAACGAAGTTGCCAAGAACGGAGATGACACGTTTTTAAAAGCGGTGTTTTTAAAACCATTAAACACAGATAACGAAGTCATTTGGGAATAAATATATTCATTTATTGAAAACTATCAAAAATGTATATTTAACACATCATCTTTGTTTAAATAAAGATGTTGACAAACAAATTTAATAAAGTTTACTAACAAATACCTAATAAATAATTATTTGGTATTTGATACGCCACCTATGCTGACTATGTTACTTTCCGTCGGAATTTTCATTTATTGACAACAGTGTTGATCATGCATATGACTCAATTTCTCCAATATTTTGTTCTAGTATAGGTGAAAATACATATATCTCTTTCAGTGATACAGTATTTTCCTTTCGTTTTTAAATCAGTCTTAAAATGAAGGACGTGTTTTCGTTTGTACCAAATGTTATCATATTTAGTGAATAAAAACTTAAGATTTAAATCAAAAGTTGTTTTAACCTAAGAGTTACAAACTTATTAACCCATTTTCTCCAATTAACAAGTGTGTGGCTTAGCTCTTTTCACCACCAATATGACGAAATATACTTTTTTGAGTATTTTTGTAATTAAATACTGAAATAGCAAATAGAGAAAGAGAGAGATCCACTATGTGGAGAGATCTAATACAGAATTTTTGGCATTCACTGTAGTGATTTTGGATCATAGATCATAGACATAATAACCTTAAGGTGCGTATAGATATAACTTATAATAGCCAAGTTATCGTTTTCTCCACATATCTAAAAGACTGTCAAAGGAGCAAACCGCTAATTGGGTTTTTGATAAGACAAACACACCCATTTTTAAATATAAATTTAGTAAGATCTCTTTATTTTATATTAGTACGACCAAAAATGGATTTTGCATCGATTATATGCAGAGATAACGAGGAAATGTAACTACTAACAAATATCGTGCGGTCCTGAATAAGACATCTTCTAAGGGACATAGGCGGGTATAATATCCGCTGTTGTCATATGCCTATTTCATTATTCTCGTTTTGTTTACAAAATTATTTACATATATTAAAAAAGCTAAAATAATTCAACCTATTTTATTGCAACTGAACCCAAAAAAATTTTGAATCATTAGTTATATTAAATTTAACTAAATAAGATGTAATTTCACTAAAGTAGATGTAATAATTTTTAATAAATTCCAAAACCTACTCATGTTAGGTTGAAAGTGGCAACAGGACATGGATATTTACGTTGTTTATCATAAGCGCACAGCGTCTTATACATTTATTCATTGATAAAAATTAGTTGTATCTGAGCAAAAATTCTTCTCCTTATCCCTTCGCTTACTTCTCGCCTTTTGTCGCCTCGCCCCGTCTCTACAAATAGAGATTGTCGAATTAATCTTGGCATCGTGAATATTATATTTTATCAATGAATGGTTATCTCTGTTATCTCTGATTATATGACAGGGACAATATCAAATTGATTTACAAGAAATGAAAAAGTACAATTAAGGAATGAATTCAAAATTACTTCACTCGATTCAAGGTGCAAAATAACATGTATTTTATTTATGTAAAAAATAATTAATAACCAAATAAACTGCCCGGATCTTCTAGCACTAGTACCATTTTCTGTTCCTCTGCGTCCAACGTGAAATACAAATATGTTTACTATTCCTTTTACCTGAACAACAACCAGAACTTCCTTCCTAATGATGCTTCGTTTAGCAAACAATAATATGTTGTTAGATATAAATTGGTACGCAAAATATGATAACTTCCAAAAACAAAGTATTTCTCATATTGGCAATTTGGCTATCTATACTTGTGCGTTGGTATTTACACCCCTCTAATGTTTTTAATGAATTAGGATTATTATAATTTTCAATATCATTTTTCTATTTATAATGGCATTTACTAATGTAATATTAATTGTAACTTAATTATCCTTGTAATCAGACCAATAGGCATATTTGGATAATAAATAAATAAATAAATAACGCGCCGGGCCTAGGCTAACAACAGGCCCAGGTTCGTTAGATTTGTACGCGCGATGGAATGCAACGGACCCGTGGTAGACACAGCACCGTACAAATCTATCGAACTTTGCGTGTTGTTGGGACGACGCAGGTACGGCCCGAGCCTGGCGCATTATATTTATATACACCTTAAGATAGAATAGGCTTCACACTCTTTACAGTCTCTAGACGATGAAGGTAGTAGGAGGAGGAGTCGCTACTCGTGTACTGAAGCAGTATCACCTGGGCCATATTGTTACTATGCTAATATCAGTCTAGTACGAGGGGGAAACCACTAAGGACAAAACGTACCCGTACCCATACCCATCTTAACCGAACTTCCTCATAGTACTACTTTACTTTTTTTTATTATGTCTATTATTTTCTTCGCGGAGCCCCCACAAAAACTTTGCGGAGCCCCAGGGCTCCGCGGAGCACATTTTGAGAAACACTGCTCCAGATGGTACAGAAAATCCAATTTGGGATAACAAGCAGGGACAATGGGCAGATGAATTAATAATGTTAAATAAAATAAGATACATTTGGTTTCTTCTACTCTAATAGAGTGTGTAATTAGTATGGGGATATAGAGACTACTCCAAAAATATGTGCCTAAAAGCCTTACTATTTGCATTTACGTAATTTATGCAAAAATCGCACGTATGTTCAGAGAAACATTTTTTAATTAAGTAACCAAACACATACATATTTAACAAAAATTTTCTCTAATATGTCATTGCTGCGTAATCCATCTTCCAACACACAACAGACGTTTGTGTTTCGGTTCAAAATTGAACATCGTGGTCGGTTTTGTTTTGTTTTTTAAATAATATTACAACTGAATTTTTTTTATTTATTAAAACAAAATCAAATATTATTTCCATTGTTTTGTTATTTTATTTTAACATCAATTCTTATTCTGATCCGAGGTATGAACAAATCGACTTTGTTTTTCTCTCTTCTTTTGATTCATAGTAAAACCTCCCAAACGATATTAAAATAAAAGTTTATGAGCAATTATCATTAAAATTTGAGTTTTCATTTGAAAGTAATGGGATTTTTAGCTTTTTGACAATGCGTAATGGTTTTAAAACGTGGAATATGTCAAAACAAAGAAAATTTCACATACACTTTACTTGAAACTAATAAAAATAATCATGCCAAGAAGGATCAAAAGAAATTGTATTGAAGGTGTAATTAATTACTTTAAATTGTAGGGTATGTTTTATTCTAAAAAACAATTTTTTGTTACAGATTCATATGCACAACACTAGCCTTAACACAAGCGTTACCAACTCAACCGGAGCTCATCACACAACCACAACCAGGCGAAGAATATGTCTTCGTCCAATCCTCAAGTAGCGATGCAAAACCAATTAAAAGAAACGAAAAACCGATACAAGAACAAAAAGAATTCGAAACTGCTCACAAACTGCCTGCTTCATTGACTTACGCTTTAGAAAAAGAAGAAAGCGAAGAAGATAACACCAAAGTTAAAACATCGAATGACGATAAGAAGATTCATAAAAGAGAGGCTCAGAAGGCTCCCGCTCCTCCACCACCTGGAGCTACAAAAATCGACGTCAAAGCGTTGTTAGCTAAGTAAGTAGAGTATTCTACCTCTTAATGGTAACGACATATTTCGCCAGAACAGAAAATGTTTTCAAAGAAACGAATTATTTGCAGATACCAAATCGTAAGTTCCACCACAAGCACTTCCAGACCGTCAACCACAACAACGAAGAAAAATCAACGCCGCAGGGGAAGCAAGAGGGTGAAAAAAGAAGCAAAACCCGAAAATCTAGAAGTTACCAGCTCTAGTCCGATTTTGACCACAGGAAAATCATTACCAAGAGCTGCTCTCGATGATATTCCTTTGGTCGGTGCTGCCAGTGATAAACAGAGATCGAGGATTCAAATCAAAAAAGGTCCCAATGGACAAGAATATGAATACGAATACGTTTATTATTATTACGATGATGATGATCCTAAAGACAAACCGGTATGTAAATATTCTTCTTTTTAACTAAGAGTCCACTATACTTCAACACCCCCTAACTAACAACGATATAACTCCCTTTTTCCAACTTTTCAGGAGAATTAAAGTATAAATATTTATTTTGAAATCATAACAATACGAATCTTTCTATATATCTAAGGGGTTGCGACATACGATGTAATACTATTTACAACATGTGAAATCTTGAATAATTTTAATAAAGAGTGTCTCAGAAATATTTTTGTTTATTAATCGCAGGGGCGGCTACTCTTTAAAGCCGCATGGCCGCGCGCCCCTCCTCAATAATACCAGAGAATAAAATACTAATTAAAAATATTATGTATTTGTTTATTTTATAATTTTTTCTATTGTCTGGACACATGCTATGAGTGTTATTTATTATGTCCTTTCCAAATCCAACAATTTATAAACTCTTTGACTGTACTATAGTCGACCGCAACAAGATGGAAACGTAGTGGGATACGCGCTATCGAGTACATTTTGAAGTCGGCTGTTTTAGTGAAGATCAGCATTTAAAATTTAGATGAAGAGGCGTCATGCGACATTTTTGCTTTTTTTAAACTGTTTTATAGTTTTTACGGAATTTTTACGAAGCATCATGCTAAATGATTGACTAAAGGCCTTAGCTATGATATCAATAAATATAAATTTAGTTCTGGGGATAAATAATTTCGACGAAAAAGTCATGCAAAATTTTATTGCAATGAGAGATCGTAAAAACAAAAATCTGATGTGTCCAACACATGACTTTCCTATCTAGTGTGGTATTTTTTCTATGTTAGTGAAAAAATACAAAATACATAAATAATAAATTTTCCATAATCCCTACCCTCAAGCTAATTGGCGCCCCCCACCATCGCAGCTCACGAGCCGCCACTGAATTAATCCGTTCGTTGGTGCAATGGGCACCTTTTCGAGAAATAAGCCAGTTGGCAAAGGGTGGTCGACAGTGTAGTTTTAGTTGCAATGGAGCGATCTATGGGGCTACAACGTGGTTTTTGTATTCTTGTGTTTTATAAGAACAATGATTCTTGTATTCTTGTGCGTCATTTGAACATAAATCATTATAACATAGCAAGAATGAAAGATACCCCAAGTGCAAATTTAGTTAAACATTGGTTAAGAAAATTTGAAATTTCCAGTACTCTCAAATGAGAATATTTCTGGGACACCCTTTATTTTATGTCGAACACAATGAAAACTTTATTTTAAAATAGCGCTTATTCATTTTTCATAAATTGCAGGCTTGGCGATTACCATAGATATATAACCAAGACAGGATTATTTACAAAATTTTTGAAGAATGAACGGTGGTGTCCGCGGTAGAAACTCAATAATCGGATTGAACATTGATGCCAAGTTTAAGTTCTTTTAACTATAGATATATATATATAAAACCAATACAGATTACACAATTTCTGAAGTCAACGCGGATGATCCTCGACAGAAATGCAATATTTGGATAAAATTAAAATATTGATGCCAAGTTTGCGATGTTTTTAACTGTAGTAATGTCAAAAAAAAAATGTCTGACAACAGCGGAAGTAGAGTAGACCGCAATTGTGGAGGGTCGTATATTGTTTCATTCATAAAAATTCCTTCGATACAGTACTAGTCCAGGAGCCAGTGAATTTTTTCGTACTTGTTTTCCCGGTCCGTGTATATTTAAATAATCTATTCCCGGTGAACTGTATATTTAAAATGGAACGCCAATTTATTAACAAAAGTAAGCCAGATTGAATTCGCGCATTACGTCACATCGATACAAGTGAGATTGTTTACAAAGTGCCTTTGCAGGCCTATTTTGCCCATTTCATGTATTTGTTTTTAAATCATGTTAAATTACTATTTTTGAAACTCAACAAGGAGAAAATCCAATTAACTCTTCCGTTGTGTATATATATAAGATAAATTAACCTCTAGTATAAATAATTTGACATAACGAAACTAACAATAATTATAATTAATGTAGAGTAATAAGTGATTCGTGAATTCTAAATAAAACAATTATTATATAAAAGTGTAAAAGGAAATGTAATTTGTTTCCCTATTTTCTTCTGTAATATCTTCAATTATTATGTTTAATTTCTATAAATAAACCAACTGGTTAGGTGAAACATTGTGATATAAGATTTTATTTATGTGTCCTATGCGTACACTTTAATATACAGAACACCTGGGACATTCTTTAAATAATTGTGGTCGTAGAAATAATTGTGTACATAACTCGTTTGAAAGTGTATTTTATGCACTTTCCAAATATATTATCCATACAGATTAATCAGACTATTTTTTTACTTAACTTCAGTACATCTCTTACTACTAAAACTATTTTTATCAATGGAAAAAAAGGGCCGTGTTCTCGTATGTTTTGACGCATTTTCGGCCTCAGTCCATCGGATCCCCCCTCTAAATATATATGAATTTTGCTTAGAATTGCTAAACCTACAATTCTCTATTCGTGCTTGCTGACTGGGAAAATAAATACCGAAAATAGTCACTGTCTCCTGGACTATACAATAGATCATGATGAGAACTTCACAACAAATACACTTTTATGAATGGCTAGTTGGGGATGTGGCGATTACTATTTCGAATAAAAATAGCGTCCAAGATGGAAGACTATGTCGCATCCCCCTTTAGATACACGAGCCCTTCCCACCGGCAGCTACATGGGCGTCGTTACACAATTCTATAGGGAGGGGCAAAATTTTGAAAAAATTCAGAATGTTCATTTGTTGGAAAACAAAGAAAATGAAAAATAAAAGATAATTATTCTGTGACGTCATGGCTTACTTCCGGTTTTTCCAGAAATAACACAAAATCGCAATTTATTTTTTATTTTTAAATGAACCCTTTTTCTTATTGAAAATTTTAATTTGTAGGACATTTTTGTATAAGAGGCGTGTATTGAAAATTTACTGTCAGTAACATATTAAAAAAATATTTTCCATTATGATGGTCATTTTGACAGCTGACAGAAAATTTTCAACACATGATTCTTATCCATATATGTCTCTAAAATTCAAATTTTCTATAAAAACGGTGGTTTCTATTTAAAAATTAAAAATAAATTGAGATTTTCTGTTATTTCCGATAAAAAGTTGCCATGAAGATACACACCAATTGAATCCAGTATATGATAGTATTTGTCCCAAGCTTTTAAACAAATAAGTTTTCATTTCAATATCTCAATTAACAACGAAGATAAAAGCGGATACTGGTATTCGGTAAGTGGGTCTCAATGGGAATTTTGAAGCCTAAAAAGATTTTATAAAGTTCGTACATTCCTATATGTTTTTCCATAAACGAATTAATAGTAACATATTTAGAAAAAATATCCAATATGGCGGCCAGTTTGACAGCTGACAGAAAATTGTTAATACACGATTATTATACAAAAATGTACCAGAATTTTAAACTTACAATAAAAATAGGGTCTCCTTTTAAAATTAAAAAAATTCTATTTTCTGTTAGTTCCGGAAAAACCGGAAGTAAGCCATGACGTCACAGAACAGTTGAATCCATCATAAGAAAGTATTTGTTCTAGTCTTTCAAACAGAACAAAATTATTCCGATATCTCACTGAATAGCGAAGATAAGGGGGAGTGGAACTTTAGTAGTAACCCTAACAATGTCACTGACCTATTTGACAGAACTGATACTTAAATTGTCATAACAAGTCTCTAATAAATAAAATAACCCAAAAAAAAAGACAAAAACTAAAATAAAGAAAAAACAAGAAACTTAAAATACATTTTTAAAAAACAAACAGAAGGTGTGATATAAAAGAAAAATATGAAAAAGAAGACACAGCTATACATAATAATATAAAAATAAAAATTTATAAAAAAACAAAAACATAAAAAAACTCACTCAAACACGACGTTGAACACAAAAAAAACATTATGAAATCGAAAATTTTAAATTTCTTTTTTCTTTACTAAAAACATCAATAACAGAAAATGTAATTTATTTTTCAGTCAGCCTATTTTCATTCATTATTTGCTCCGTGCGTGACAGCAACGCCAACCATTTTATGAACTAACGAACGATATTTGCGTATACAATTTTTAATAGAGTTCGTAATTAAAAAATATATGTTAATTTTAATAAAAGTATATGGATTTGTAAAACAAGTGAAAAAATTATTATTATATATTTTTATTACTTCAGCTAAAAAAAGTAGTATAATCAATAAAAATCAATAATAAATCATAGGTATTTACGAGAAAATGTATGAGATCTTGCCGAAGCCTAATAAGTTGTCATTGAAGAATAGGTTAAATAATGTCAAAATAAAAACATTACCATTATTATAATACAGTAGAATTAAAACGTATTAACAAAAATAATTGGTATATTTGTGATTGTAATTTAATTTTCATTAGTGCGAAAGAACCCATAAAAATTAATGCTTAAAACTGGTTTCCTATCAATAAGTCACAAGATTGCATTTCAGTCATATGCAATAATCAAAGGCAGAAATCTAATCATTTGCTAAACATTTAACATTTAAGGGATGTTGAAGAATATCATAAAATAATAATTTATTGTTTATTTAAAACCTTTTCTGATATCTATTATTTCCAGTATTACTGTTATTATTACAAAATAAAGGTTTTTTTCTTCTTATTATACAGCTGTTGATTTATTTCTTTGATTTAATTTCGATTTTGCTACTGAAAATTTATATAATTTACAGTTTTTTTTGCTAGTATAATTTGCAACATAGCAACTCCGGTTGCTCATTTTATTGTTTTTAACCTATTTTTTTAGTAAAAAGTAAAATGTATACGTGTATTTGATAAGCCAAAATTACAAAATGTAGCTCTACTATCGCTTTTGCTTCCCCTACCATGACTTCGCACTGATCAAATAGACCGCAGCCATGTTTCAACATGCGTTCTTTCGATTAACTCTCGTTGGTGGAAGAGCCATAAATAATTTTCAAACCACTTTGTATGTCTGGATAAAATTCACAATGTTAGGACGCTATATCATTAAAGGAGAGCTCATTGTGTGCAGAAAGCTCTTTCGTACTCCAGTTTGGTATTCAGTTTCAAAATTATCGATTCCAAATTTTTCCACTACTTTCATTTACTAATCGTTTTTTGGTATGTAACAGACTTAAGGAAAAACTAACAGAGTCTTCGGAAAAGCGTGATGTAAGCGACGTAAGGGAATCCAGATATGCAATAAATATATTCAATTTATAATATTCTTCAACTATATTAGCCTGAATATTATTATTTCTATGAGATTGTTGTTCGTAATGCATATCTTACGCGTTGTTGAATAAGTCTTAAAAGCCAGGGGGGCTACTGCCCCCTCTTACCCCCCCCCCCCCCCCCCAAACGACGCCCATGGGCAGCTATTGTGTCGTTGGAATGCCTCATGGGTCAGCTTCTGTAATTATTTTCAAATTAGATTGGCTAGATTATTCAACTGTATGACTTTGTTCGTTAAATGTTTCCAATTCGAGCTATATCTTGACCTTGCAGTTCTGTTACAAATTTTCCATGTACTTTTAAAAGGTGGTTGGTTATAAGCTTCGTTAGCGGTAAGAAGCCTGAACTGATTCATAATTACTAATTCATACTTTGAGCGCATGCCCGATTAACGAAGCCATAAGACAAAAGTTAAATTCTTAGTATCCGACATGGCCGGCCGTTAGTGTTTAAGTACAGAAATAGGTCAGGGGTGGAGCATGGGGATTAGGGATCAACCATCTTATAAGAAGAAAAGTCAGTATATGTTTCCATGTTTGTAGATAACTAATGCCCACGATGGTCCAGCCAGAAACCAAATCCCCACTGGTGATAAGAAACCTGTACCAGAGAGCAATGAAGTTCTTCCTTCGAGAGCCAGTAAAAACAGAGGCAGGCAGTTGGGTGAAGATGACACTGTCAACGAAGAACGATTACCAGCAAATACCAGATTTCCACCTAGGTAAACATTCAATGTTCTACTACTTCTTATCATAATTCACTTGTAGACATAGGGATTTGCAGTTTCTAATCCATTTCTAATTCTTGTTTTTTTTTTTAATATTTTCAATTGAATACAGTATCGAATATCTACGAACTTTGTTAACAACTTTCTGTACAATTTCATTGCAAGTACGAAGACTAGAATATTTTTAAAATGTACATACATTTACATATTTTAATAGCTAAATTTGTATCACTATCTCAATCAGTTTTGTAATACGAAAATAATTACTACTTGCTAATTATTTCTAAAATAATAATACAAATTCAGAGAAAATTTATTTCTATTACATTGACCGACTTAGGTAAGATTTTATCTGTGCGTTTTTGTTAAAATCGTTTGTCTGTTTCAAGAAGCAGAAACTTGAATACCACTCCCCTGCCAGAGGAGGAAATAAAGCCGGTGACCAGAGGCCGAGGAAGAGGAAGGCCAGCCGGCGAGGCTGTCAGTGAGGCCGACAGTGTTACAGACGAAACTCAGGTAGGGCTGCGTTTACATACCTCCGGACTCTGGTAGATTTGATGTATTTTTTGTGCAGATAAATTTAAAAAAGCTGTCACTGTCACTAAAAAGTTCTGAATCGTCTTTTTGATTCTTCCTCAAAACAAGATAATGGTATTGATATATATTTGACTGTCTTCAAACTTAGGACAATAGACAAATAAGTAGACTCCTTCTAACTTTTACAATAAACGCAAACCCAGATAACAATTATTATACATACTTAGATACTTAGCATATTCTTAGTATATACTTTTTAAGAATATGCATATGCTGAGAATATACTTTATTTGCATTTAATACAATATACTTTATTTGCATTTAATACATTCTCAGAATATACTAAGTATATGTTACGTGACGTTGTTTATACGTGGTACGCAGATACTGAAAATTTACTTCGAGTATGTGTACAGTATGCAATAAGTAACTACTTACAATTGATAGTACGTTCTAAGTATATGCTAAGTATTTAAATTTAGCATATACCAGTCACATACTTAGACACCCTATTACAGGATGTTTCATTAATATTGAACATTAAAGAATAAGTGTATACATATAATGAAAATCGTGAACATTTTTTAAATCTTTATTTCCAAAAATTCATACTTATTCTTATTACAAATTCTTTCTTTGGCTTTAACCAACCAATATTTTATTGTATCTATGGCTTGAGTTTCATTTTCTTGCTTACATTGGATCTTCATTGAATCTAAAAAATAAAAAAAATCAACAAATTTGGTACATATACAAATTAAGTGTACATAACTAATGGAATATTTTAAATATTTTTGTCGAACATAAAACATTAAAAATTGTACATTGCATTCCACTAACAAAAACAAGAGCTGCATAAATGATTATTGTTTTGTGAAAGTTTAAATATATTACTTACCACCATTTTGTAGTTTTCGTCCTCCTTTAGCTAATTTTCTAGTTCTTCCAGGTCAGTTTCTGGCCTTAAAGGATTCTTTTCATAGAAAGTGTGTATGTAATTCTGGTAACACTGTATTTTAATTTAAATTCGCCATTATTATTAACCATATTATTAAATTCACAAAGGAAATTAATATTTGTTCTAACAACAAAAATATAGTAAAATTTGTTTATTTTTATATAGATCACACGATGCAATTAATTTTTATTAATTTATTTATCTATTTAATAATGAAGCGATGCATTGTTAAGCGTGACCAAAAAAATTGTAGGTTATGACATTCTTCTCTTCTATTAAAGCTGTGAATGTTTTTTGGCCTAAAACACTCAACATTAGTACGTTTGCTAGCGAATTATCAGATCGGCATCTAGAAAAAATTCAAATAGATATGTATATAAACGTGTTTTTACAAGTATTTGGTGTTAATTTTCACTTGTAAGCATTTAGAACGTTCTCACAATATGAGGTACATGCTGGGTATATGACTTTTAGTACTTCTAAGAATGTCCTTTTTAGAATATACCTTTAAGACGCGTACCCAGCATATACTTTTTAGAATATACTTTCAAAGCACGTACTCAGCATATCCTTTCTTTTAAAGTATATACTAGATATGTTCTAAGAATATTTTAGCAAGGACATACCAAAAAGAACATAAACAGAACGTTCTTAGTATATTATAGAACCCCTAATGTAAAAACAAATTTATTGAAAAATTGAAAAAATTCTGTTCACGGGGGATTCGAACCCACTTATTCGTGTTCTACGCACACTGCTTTAATCAACTGAGTTATCAGGGCCTAAGTCTGCAACAACCAGATTGATTAATTTATTATAAGATTTCGAATTCTAACGATTTATCGTTTTTGGGACCAGTAGGTCTTTCGTGAACCTGGCCGACGGTTCTTTAATGAAATATTTAGTCTGTCTCTACCATTGCACTCTACAGAAATGTTAAGGTCCTGTCATGGCCTATCATAGCCTTACCTGAGCCTTCTCGGGCTAGTCTATTTTCCTGATATCCTTCGTGGCAAGGTACCCAGGTTATCTATTTGAATGGGTGTGGTTCAAAGCCCACTCGTACTGAAGCTCTAAGTTTATTGTAACCCTCACAGTTTCTACCCCATCAGGTTAATATACTTAATTAATTCACAAATATTTCTGATGGGCACGAAGTGCCATTCCCGTTCCCATTTAAGGTTCTGGCAATAGTATAGTATGTGAATAGGAGTTTCATCCTCCTCTTCACATATTTTACAAAGGGTGTCATCAGATTCCCCTAGGATATTTAGATGTCTTCTAAGGCCGCACTATCCCGTAAAAAACTGCCTTTAGTTTGGTTCTGCCCGGGTTTAGCAGATGATTTTGTCTGTTCTTGGATTGACCCTCTATAAACATTTTGGACTGTCTATGTTGTTCTCTATTTATCTGTTCAGTTAGCACCCATTTAACATGTAGATATAAAATACCACATGTGTACCCAGGCTAAGGTCACTTTGTTTTGACTATTTAGCTGTCAGGTCTTCTAGGCAATCTTTCACCAGTCCAGATTTGATTTTTGGTGAGAGATTGAGAGAATTGCGTTTAGACCTGAATAGTTATCAGAACAGATGACAGTAGTTTTGCCTGATACTTGCCGATTTATTAATTCTCTTGCACAATGTTATATGGTTAGTAGTTCACTCTGGACCACTTTTGCGTATTCTTCTAGATTCGTTGTAATCGACTTAGGTCCAAAGATTTCAGCACCGATTCCTTCCTTGGTTTTTAAACCGTCTGTATACGTCTGTATGCCAGCCTGTATGGGAGGTCCTTGTTTCCAGGATTCTCGGGCTGGTATTTAAATTATAAAATTGTTTCCTTAGTATTGGCTATAAGCATTCCTAGAATCTTATCCTTTTTTACTTGCTGGTATATCCTTGTATGGCCAGTGCTATGTAGTTGGCTCATTCAGTTTTGTCGCTGCATTAGCCTGTGAATGACGGACCTGATTTCTTCTTTCATGAATATTTGCAGTAGCGTGAGGTTTAATAGTACCCCTTTGCTGCAGTTGGTGTAGTACGCATGGATCCTGTGGATCCTTGGGTAGTACCATTAAATGTTTTACTTTTATCTTGAAACTTCTCAGCAATTGTTTAAACTAATTAATTACTTTTTAGTTCTGTATTACCATATTTTGTACACACTTTTGTTAATACTTCTTTCATTTCTCACTAAAGTCGAAATCACTAGTTTGAATAAATATTTTGTATGTGAGATCAATTTTGAGTCATTGTCTTATTATAACAATATTAGTATGAATTTCTTCCATAGGGTTCAAGAGGCCGAACTCGAGCTAACGTTCACAGGGTAAATTTGGATTTGATCGACAGCGACTCGTTTAACACCCACAGCGGCGGTCCTGGACAGGGAAAACAACCATCTTTTCCACAAGAACTTCCAGAAGGCCCGGTACGTTTCTTGGGAGCCATACCCAACGAGCGCATCGAACTCGAACAGCCAGTAATAAACATAAAATTGTACAATTTGATAATAAATCACACTAATCTTTCACATTAACTGTTGGCAGTGGCTGAGTGGATATTAGCGTGCACGTAACATTTAGTATTTAATGGGTGCATTTTTAATATTTAATATTTAACTTCATTATCACTCTTTAAAACAGCCTTATACCTAACAATAAAAAGGAATAGAACTAAGAAGTAAAAAAGATAACCCAATATACCTTAAGTATCCACGGGAACACTCCACATATATCAACTAAGCTTTCTTCTTACTGTAGTTACTTATATTCTCAGGTAATCTATCTATATAATGATCTATAATAATCTATCTATATTCTGTATTTACCAATCCTACATTCTCTCACCGATGCTATTTTACTAATAATTACATTTCAATTTAAATGTTCAGTTAACACCATAGACAAGCGATGTTTGCTTTATAAAACTAAATTTCAACAGGCTCAAGAACCAGTAAAGCAACCGGCGCCACCAGTAGACGAAGAAGTCGATGAAAGTTCAGACAAAGACAGTACTACATCTTCGGTAGATCCTACCACCACTGCTATGTCATCGATGGATAAAGTAGCTCTAGATTTGTATGCCATTTCACAAGGAACTCAGAAATTATTTGGTGAAGAAGGTGAAGCAAATACAGAAGACGGTAAAACTGGATCTACGGAAGATGCTACAGCAGAAGATTCTACAGGTAAACATTAATATTGCGTGGTCTTCAATTGCTACAAAAGCGACTTTGTTAAAATAGAATTCGAAACCACTTCAACTACAACGACTACTACAACTACCACAACCACAACTACGACTACAACGACCCCTCCACCTCCTCCTTCCACGGAACCACCATCAACCGTAGGTAGAAGCAAATTTGGATCCGGCAGACGAGTTCCAAATGGAAGGAAAACTACTGCTCATACCAGTAGTACGACAGAAGCGTCATCATCTGAGCCCAAAAAGAAATTCGGCAGACCGAGTTTCGGTGGAAGGTCCAGAACTAGAACTACACCTGCACCTGCTGCGGAAGAAGAAGCTCATGAGGAAGAAGCTAAGCCAGTTGGTCAATCAAGGGTACATATTATCTAACTGACTTTTTTCAAATATAATTTTTATGATATACGCGTTTCTTTATATTTTTAGCCAACATTGAGTCGTTCCCGTTTTGGAGCTTCCAGACCAAGAGGCAGAACCACAGCTGCGCCCTCCGAAGAGCCAAAAGAAGAATCAGCAAGTAGTGCTGCTCCTTCAAGTAGAGCTTCCCTACCACGTGCTCGACCAAACTTTGGTTCATCAAGAACTCGAGGTAGAACCACTGCATCTCCATCAACTGAAAGTGAGAGCGATGTATCTGGATCAACTGCAGAAGCAAGGTATTTTATAATAAGAACAATTTGTTCAACAGATCTATTTTTGATGTACCTCTGCATATCTATTTGAAGTCCTTGGACTTTATACAAATATACATAATATGCGTATAACTTCCATTAATATTTTAGAGCTTTATATCATGTAGACCAATATGTTAATCGTTTTTTATGTCTAGCACAACAGTGAGATCGCGAAGAATTAATGGAGTAAGACCATTGAGGCCAGGACCCAGATTGAATATCGGAACTAGAGGAAGAACCACAAGTACTGAGCCACCTGTAGAGGACCACGTAACTGGAGATGAAGAGCCAGAGGCTAGTGAACCGGAGATTAAAGAAAAGGTAAGAGATTTTAAATATTTGATAAGGTTCCGCCAAATCGTAGTATCACCGAATTTAATTTCAAAATAATCTTTTGGTTCATAGGAAGAAACTCCAGCTCCAGTAGATAACTCTCCGCTCGGACGTCTACGTAACAAAAGTCGATTGACACCCCAAGCGCGCCAAAAAACAGCGGCCAGCGCTCCGGTTCAAGTGCGTAGAATCAACCCACTGTTGAACCGCAAACGACCTGGCCATACAACGGAAGCGACATCTAGCGAAGCCCCTGTCGAATCGCCTTCGACGGAAGAAGCAGCCGAAGCTGATACTTCTGCCGAAGAAGAAGAGACAGAAGCTGCCGCGCCTAGTTCTACTACAACCGAGGAGCCGAAAGGATTAAATAAATTGTTGGCGGGTAGAAGGAGGTTGGCAGCAAGGACTCCCGGAACGCTGGCTGGTAAAGCATAAATGGGAGATCATAGAGACTGCTTTAGTATTTCACTGAATGTTAATTTTTAATTGTTACGTAACTAATTGTGTTGTTTCGATGTTTTTAGTTTCACCATTTTTTTATACTTACTGTTTTATTTTTCAAAATTTGACTGCAGCCAAGACCAAAATGGACAAATAGAATAAACAATGATTTTTTTGGTTATTGTCACAAACTTCCTGCCTTATGTTGTGTGGCAGTTTCTTAGAATTGTTTGATACAATTTTATTCTTTTAACCTTAAAAGTTTCCCCATTTAAATAAATCTAATTTTACATCTTCTTTACGTTTAAGAACATCTGTAATATTAGTGTCCAACAAAAAATCTTCACCACATTAAAAAAAAGGTTCACTTTTTTTATTCTAAAAAAGTTGATGCATGGTATAAAACTGAAAAAGCAATAAGACAGCAATAAGATATTCTTTTTGACGGAGGGATCCTTAGAAGACAATCTCTACAGGTTGTTGAAGCATATTTATGACAATGAGAGATGTAGATCATTCCAATAGTTATTTATTGAAAAAATAAAAAATAATTTCAATATCACATAAAAAGTTTATTACAAAAAATAAAGGGGTAACATTAGGACTATAACAAAAATTCATAAGATAACTGTAATTGTGACAAAGAACTTAAAAGTTAACACTTTGATTTATTTTAAATGATTGATGTATTTTTATTTTTATTAGGACATCTATATGATTTGTTTTCAACTATCTACAGTTAAGTCTCTATACACTGTATCGTAAAATGTTGATGTACCCTCTAGAGATAAAAACGTAAACGTAAAGTAAATGCTAAAAATGTTAACGGAAGATGTGCTAAATATCTAGCTGTTCCTAAAATATTGTTTATGACAAATAGTGAATAAAATATCTGTTGCATGCCTACGTTTGTAGTAAATTTGACAGGTAGAGAACTTATTTTTTCAATTAAAACAAATTTATAAAAAAAAATATATGTATTTTGTAATAGTACAACAAAATGTCATATTTAAATTAAAAGCTAATTCTGTAAATATATATACGTAAGATTTATTACAAGTTAATATGCTTTTTTAGATAATCGATTATCTTATTTTTATATAATTTTATTTTCCCACTTTTTTTAAATGTGCAGGCCACAAACGTGCCAATATTTTAGCGATAGCGATATAGATTTGTAACTTATTAAAAATAGGACTTTTTTTCATTTGTACATAAATAAAAATTGGTTTTTATTTTGTAATTGTTTTTTTATTATTCACCCGATGCGATGTGAAAGTTCAGAGTTGGGTTCGATACAGAAAAAGTATCCGAGTACCGGATACGGATACTTAACTTACAAAGTATCCGGATACTTTTAAAAAAGTGTAATTTCATCCTTAGACAAGGAAAGAGAAAGGACGGGTAGTAACAAGTATATCAAGCAATCGTAGTATTCTGTGCCTATTATCTATTGGCCGACATTATTTTGGCGGCACCAAAGCTATTAACTCGTTTATTTGTGATTTTTGAATTGAACGACATTTGATAATTAGTTTGTTACAATGGTTTATTGTGTTGCATATCAGTGTAAAAGTTGTAGCGACAAGAAATAACCAGATATTACGTTTCGCAGGTAAATAATAAACATTAATCATTTATACTTTATATATTTACTTATATTTTTTATTTTATTTGGTTTTTATACATCTTGGTATTTATATGTATATTGTACATTTCTCACTCCAAAGTAATGTTACCCGCCAAGTTTGTTTATTTTATGCTTTTTATTCATTTTTAAGCAATTAATTATTAAAATTGCCAAACACGCAATTTTTTCCAGTGGCGTGTCGTACAATTCTAAATATTAACTATTATCAAATACTATTTACTGATGAATCTACTTCCATAACAACGAATTTGTGAATTGATATAATTTTCAACATGAATTTCGAACTGTAGATCGACAAAACCGATGGTCGTTAAACGTTTATGGGTTGGAATAATAGAAAGGCAGTTGGTGAGGCCCTATATTTTTGATAGCCATATTTAAATGAAAGCATTCTTTTTTAATTATTGAAGAAAAATTTCCGGAACGGTTTTTTGGATATTAGACGAAAAATGTAGCTGCAGTTAGATGGTGATCCCGCCCTTTTTTCGCATGATGTCAGAACGTATAAGAGGCCCTACTAATTCCTCCAAGATCACCCGACTAACCACTCTACTCTAGATTTTTCTTTTGGAGATATGTTAAAAATGTAGTTATCAAACTCAGCCGACCACCGCCGAAGATATGAAAACACGCATTCGTGATGCGTTTGCTAATATTAATTTAGAGATTTTAAGTAATGTAAAAAATTATTTTGAAAGGCAAATCAAATAATATGCATTTACAATAATGTACATCATTTTGAACATTTATTGTAAATTTTAAATTGACAAATTTTGGATTATGTTTATTTAATGGTTTTGTTAAAATAAAACTATTAATAGATGTTTGAAATTTATTGATTCATTGAAACTATTGATAATAGTTTAAAAATATTAGATATGAGTATAGGGAACCTTATAGAATTTTTAACGTAAATAAAATGTCCTTCATATTGGTACCATAAAATACAATAAATTAACGCAGTAATTAAATGAAACATTTTACTGTAATAAAACTTTAAATTGCTAAGACCGCGTACATTTTTTAAATGTTTTAATGATTCTAATAAAAAAGTTACATTTTGTAAGGAACTGTCAAAAAATCGTTAATTATTTTGTAAGCAAGAGTAATTAGTTAATTTCGACAGCACATTTTCAAAAAAATGTCAAATAAATCGGTAATTGTCAAAGATGGGAATGGGAAATCTTTATTAAATTAAGATTAGTTTTAAGAGTAGAACTTAAAAGTAAAAGAAAATATAGGCTGTCCAATTTAAAACAAGACACCCTGTAGGTATATATAAAATTAATTTTAATTTGCAGCCAAAGGAATTTTTAAAATCGTCTATAGTTTACCTACCAGGCTCCGTCCCGTTTAGCGCGGCGCACCTTGTATAATATGTATTTTTCTTGACTTATTTATTGTTCCTTATTTATTTTAATTTTTACGCTTTGAACTTGCTTTATAACTAAAAAGATTAATAAAGTACTAATATAACATAAATAAAAGTTCATTGTTTTATTGCCTGATCAAATAGCATTGGTGTCAGAATGAAACACGATTACCTGCGGCGTTACGAGTCCTCTCTTTATACCTAGTCTAAGGTTTTACCTAAAAATGTACTCGCATACAATATCCGGATCCTTTTCCGGATACTTTAACATAAATCTCGACCGTCTGTATACTGGATGGGACGTTTAATTTGTCCTTGGAGATGAAGTTATAAGAAATGTCAAATGTTTGACAAAAAAAAATACTCACGCTCCTTTCTCACCAGATACCATATATACGACGCCTGATATCCGGCATCAAAGTGCGTACAGAACATTGACGCGTTCACACATACACGGTTTTTGTCTCTATCGGATAGACGCCAGACAAGTCACTCTTGAAACATAAAAAGTAAAGGTGCAGCAGTGAAAATTTCAAAAAACTTAAAACAATTCAAAGGTTTGTCGGATACGTCTGAATACAACATTGCCAGGTATCAGGCATCGTATATCCGGTACCCGGCACGTATATCCGGTAACCGACACGTATGAAAAAAGCGTTGTTACTTTAATCGTAAAACAAATGTTTTGACATTTTAAATGTACCAATACAAAATAACAAAAAAAAATAATTTATTCACTTACAATTTTTTATTTAATAAGTCAATCGGATCTCAAATATTGTAATACCTATAAAACACGTATTTTATTTCCAATAACACAGGGTTATTCAAAAAGTAGATACAAAACCATTACGGTTATAACTAATCAATCTAATAAATTAGTGTTATCACGGTTTTTAATAAAGGTAACATGGAATAAGGAAATTACGAAATGCTCATAAAAAACAAAGGTATGATTAGTGACGAGTGTGATGTATAGGATTTGAGATACGCCTGTACAAAACACGGCACTGTGGTGCGGTATATTACCGGACTCATTCTTGGAAATATGTATAAGTATCTGGATAGCGGATATATACAAATTTAACCACGGATACGGACAAAAAATTTGAAAAATGTCTAGGTACAGCTTTCGGATATATATAAAAATAAATAATTAAGTTATCAATTATAAAATTGTAGCTATAACAGAATGGGTTAATTGTATAATAAATTTAAACGAGACATATGTCGTAAAATTATAATACATTTCTTATTTATATAAGAAAACATTACTTTAAAACAGTTTATTTTACAAAAACTGGTACCTAATATAACACTGTTTTTATTCAAATTGTTTTATTTAGAGATTATACTTATTCTCTACATCTAACACCAAATTGTACACCAGTTTTGTATAAACTAAAGATATATAAATAATGAAAATAATATTTTGGATCAAAAATTACCAAATATATAGGTACCTACGGATTAATTATTAATGCTGTAGGAAATTAATAAGAATATCGGAATGTGTCTGTAAAATGCCTATTTAAGTATAAACATATCGTTTGTCCGGAGATATATACGGTATTGAAAGTCTGGCAACAAGGCATTTTTTTTTTGAAACGAATGAATGTATTATTATAAAATTGTAGAGTGATGGATTGTATTCTGCATTTTTTTAGAGGACGTGAAATTTATGTAACGTCAAATATTTATCGTACCACCAACTTAAATTTTTTAAATGGCAACGTAGGTCGAGTGATATATCAGAGGAAAGCTTATTTTTTCCTCTTTTCAAGAATACTAAGAAAATACCACATTACTAATGAACAAAAAACGCAATAATAATGTAATACAGACCCAGTCATCTCTCTACAATTTTATAATTATGCATTCATTCGTTTCAAAAAAATACCTTAGTGCCAGACTTTTTCGCTGTCCATACCATTAAACTTTATATCCGCTTCGAAAATGTTACATCTGAGATAGTTCTACTGTTACGAGCTGATTTTAAAGAGGTGACATTTTCAAGGCAGGTATAAAGTCAAATAGTAAATCTATATACAAACATACTAAAAATGTAGGTAATTCTCGCAAATATTATTATTACATGTTTGATATTCAATAACAAAACACTAAATCATGTAAGATTAAAAATGTACAGTAGGTATAACCAATAAACAAAAGGACGGTATAAGTAAATAAATATATGAAAATAGCAACCACGAACAACTACTAGACCATTTTTTTTCGAATTGCAAGCATTCACGGTGTTATCCACGTAGTTGCCAAATTATTATGAGAGTGTGTTAACAAGGATCGTGTATGGATATAATTCGGAATTTAACTTAACATACGGCCAGAAAGGTTATGGCTTCGGTATTTCAAAATTGCATTACGGAAACATAAATTCCTTCTTATCTATTCAACGGATATTTCTGGTCGCAACTATTTTTGTAACAAAGTGATTTACTTACAGGAAAGTACACCATTTATTTTGCAGTGTAGCAACGGTATAAAGCAGAAATCACAGTTGTATGAGCTAGTTCATTCTTAAAGCATGCTTGTACCTCAGATAAACAAGCTAGCACAAACCATCCCCACGCAATTTAGTAGGCGTCACGGTTCTAATTTGGCAGCCGATGCGACAGTTTTGTCTGCCTAACATTAAACACGATACTACTAGTAAGTAAGGGTTGTTGGAATTGTATAACAAAATTATATTCTTGAATGTCATTACTCATTTCTGTTGTAACAAAAATTGAATATTATAATTCATGAACTGATAATGTTCCTAAGAATTTAGTCACAGGTATTACTTAACTTACTTTATTAATTTAGTAAAATAAAATATTCATTCATCGATGGATATTGGTAAAAGTAAGAAATAAAAGTTTTTCGTTAATTCACTGAATTTTTATTTAATAATAATAATAATAATAATTAATAGTGTTACGCATAACTTCTAACCAGGGTTAATTAACCGGAGAGGCTAGCTGCGAGATTAGTGTGCATCCACATTTTCGCAACAATTCAACAGTTATATATCTGGTCAAGTCCTGAATAAGTAATCACTGGGAGGTTCCACCATGGGCCGTGCCACCATGGGACGTGGAATAAATGACAGTGAATGAGTGAGTGAATCACATACTTTGATTTTCTTTTACTATACGGAGAATGGTCGCACTGCGCAGCTTTCTGAGTGCCTTTTAAAAGGAGATAGAACAC